CCCCGGGCCCTGCTGTGCCTGGGCAGGGCCCCGTACCTGGCCCCGTACCCCTGCTTACTGCATCACCACTCACTTCCGTCTCAGGTGTGCCGGCTGCTTCATGTCATTCTGCATCCTGAAACGCACAGAGCCGTGGGGAGGTGAGGCAGGCAGAGAGACCAGGTGCACCGGCGTCTCCTCTGACTATGCCACGAGACCCTGGGGCAGGGCCCTGCTCCTGCATTCAGAGCGGCACAGAACAGGCCCAGCAGATAGATTGTATTGCCTGTTTCCAAATGGCACAACCCTGCGCTTGCATGAACAAGCCTGCCTCTTGCCCCACATCCTTTGGGAAAGCAAGGCATAGGGCTGGCAGCTTTGGGCTGCCCTGGTACTGGGTTATGGAGCTCCCCACCCCAGACGGGGCCACCAGCCACAGAGTACCACTGGCCTGGCCAGGTGAGAAGTCAGGAATATGAGGGAGTGCCCCATCATCCCAACTGCTCTCCTGCGCCAGCCATAAACCTCCTTCCCCAGGAGCACCAGGGACACGGGCAGAACTGACCTGACGTTCACCATGTCTGCTGGGGTCCCCACAAACCCGCCAGTGAAACCTGCAACCAACGGAGAGCTGGGGTCAGGGGGCTGCTCTGGCCTCAAGGAGCTCAGGGTTGAGGGACCCTCTTCCTTGCTCACCTCCCACTGCGCCCAGCAGCACTTTCTGGTAGAAGGGGGGAGGGCCCTTATTGCCTTGGCCCAGGTGGTCCCTCACAGTCTCATAGATGGCAAAGCGGGTCAAGGAATACGTCATCTGGAAGGTAGGGTGAATGAGCCACTGTGTCATGCTGGTGTGCCTGCCTCCCGAGGCCACCACAGCTCAGGGCAACCTGTCTGCTACAGACAAGTCTGCAGCTCAGCTGCTCTCCCACGAGTCTCAGAAATGGGCAGAGGAGCCACAGGGCGGGGGAGCGCAAGTGGTTGCACAGCAGAAGGCTCTTTGCTGGCCTCAGAGGGACTAGAGGTCGGCAGCACTCACCTGCCGGCACAGCGAGGCGCTGAGCCCGTTGTAGAGAGCCAGGAAGCCGTCAGTGCGGATCACACGCAGCGCCATCCCGGTCATGCGCATCTTCACCTCCTGCTGCGTCTGGAGGTGGACCTGGGGCAGAGTCCAGCAGCGTCAGCGCACTAGCCCAGCACTCTTGAGAGCTCACCCCTCAATCCACGGGGCCAGGCAGGAATGGGGGAGCACAGGGCACAAGCCCTCCTCAGCTGCAGCCCAGCACAGCAGGGATGACAATTTTAAGTGCTTTTCAGGGGTAATTCATTAGCACTTATGCAGAAGCATCCCTGCAAACAGCAACAGCTCCAGACTTCCTGCACCTAAGCAGTAGTTGGAAACCAGCCCAGGCCAGCCCAGCATCAGAGACTTGGAGGCTGGCCAGGAGAAGGGGGAGGGTCAAGGCACCTGCACAAGGTCCCTCCCACACTGCCTGCCCAGCTCGGGGTGGTCTCAGTGACACATCCCAGGATGAAGTTCTTCTAGTGCCTTTTCCTCCAAAACAAGGCCTAAACCATACTAGCGAGGGGGAAGATCCAGAGGTGTCCGAGTGAGTAACCAGCGCAAGTTTGATCAGAGGGAGCATGACAGGAGTTTCAAATTCACGACCTCCTGCTGCCCTGCGTGTTTGCCATGGGAGACAGCTGGCCTCCCCAGCCCAGGAGGAGAGCAGAGGCAGAAAGACAACCTCACAGCCCTGCTTATTAGCTCCGAGCCATTCCTTCCCACGGCTAGAAACACAAGACAGGAGTTTCCCACCATTAAAGGCGGAAGTGAGAGCAGGCCGGCCCCGGGGAGCCTGGTAGGGATGGAGGCCTATCGCACAGGAGCCCATGTCAGCCTATGCCTGAGCACGTCTGCCTGGCTCCACGCTGCGAAGATCAAATGTGGGTCAAAGGAGATAAAGTGAGTGCAGGGCCGTTGGCCAAGGACCAGGCTTGGCTTCTGCTACAGAGCAAGGACTGGGAAGAAGCACTGGAGCAGCCGGGGCGTGGGACATGCAGCAGCGCAGCAGGAACGCAGCCTCTATCTCTCCGTGCAGGGCAGCACAGAAAGCGACGGGTAGGCAGGGAAGGGGCCCTGGCCTCCAACTACGGCGGGCTTCCGGCGTCAGGGACCAGAGCTCCCAGCACGCCGGGGAGCCGGGCGAGCGGAGCACAGGGAGCTGGCAGAAAGGCAGGTGGCGCGGACCCGCACCTGCAAACCTCTGCCACGCACCCT